CAGGTTCTAGCAAGTATCTAAGAGACTGTCGCCGGGGTCAGAGGTCACGTTTCATCTAACTTACTTGATTCTGATGCTGAACCGCTGTGGGCGGCGACACCAGGTGAAACAAATCACACCAAGGAGTCTGAATATAATACATAGTCTGCGGCAACATTACTGTAGCATTTATCTGAAAGCACAGGAACGGAAAAGGCACAAGCGGGCGTGTGACACTCAACAGTGTGTGTGTGTGTGTGTGTGTGTGTGTGTGTGTGTGTGTGTGAGTGAGTGAGTGAGTGAGTGTGTGTGTGTGTGTGTGTGTGTGTGTGTGTGTGTGTTAGAGAGTGTGTGAGCAGAGCTTTAATTAAGGTGGAATCAGAGCAGGATCTGTGCTGCCGTGATAACGAGCCTCATCTGAATTATTAACGAGAGCTGCACCCCCCCCCTGGACGTGAAATCCCGTCAGACTGTCTCTCACACACGCACGCAAACAAACAATTCCAGAACATGCAATTAATAATGCACAAATAGTATCCAACTATATAATGGCACTGTGGTGCAACACATCAATGTGTATAATATGTATAGAATGTCAAACAGTAGTAAGTGCATTACAGCCCTCTACAGACCCAATGAAATGGCTTGACGAGTGCAACTCGTTTCCCTATCTGGACACATTCCAACCTGATCATAACTCTTTACATAAACACATTATTCTTTAAAGTTTTGATAAATTGGGCTTCATACATTCGTATGAATTTGTACAATCTGATTCACACAAAAACATAAAATTTTTAGGAAAATAAAAAATAAGCATGAAGACCCACCCCTAACACCCTTAAAGCTAACTGTCAGTGGAGCGAAAGATGTGCAAATGAGATTATACAAATTTATATGGATTCCCCATCAATTCACCAAAATGTAAAATAGTTATGCATTGCATTGTGTATCGCATATTTCCTTTTGAAACAGGAAATTTGGGCAAGACAAAAGGTCCGGTCCCTGTTGCTGTTCAGTGAGAGGCGGCATTAAAGTCACAATGAAACGGAATAACGATAGATCTTTTCTCTCATATTGTGACGTACCGTACATTTGAGTATGATGGGATTATTAAAAAAGAAAAAAAAACATAGGACAGGGACTTGGTTCTAACCATCGGTTGTTGATTGGATTTTGAAATGTGGCTGTTGCACTCAAAAAAACGAATGCATATTATGAGGGGTGGAGTTTAAACGGACTAAATGATTGGAGAGAGAAGTCTGTTGTTTTACCAGAAGATCCAGTTCTAATATTTTAATTAAAAATGAGGAGGTCAGGTTTTTTTTTTTTTAATGATGCATTGTGACGAGTGGGGCGGGTCTGTCATCTGTCGTCTGTCATCTACTCCGACATAATTTCGTGTGGCAGTATTAGTACATTGTGTCTTCTTTTTTTTCCATTTTATGATTGGGAACAACCAGCATTTTAGTGCAATACTGCCACCTACTATGTTGGAGAATCAACCAGATGCCGTTACTGGTATACCGAGTTACTTCTGTAGCTCTAACATTATATCGATATTTCATTCTTTACATATCATGGTTATTGTCAATGCTGGTATAATGACATCTCTACAGCCAATCACAATGGACTTTGCCATTTTTGTGTACAACATGCATCAGATGGGTCATAGACTTGCCTAAGGTGTATAAGACTAGCCTCAGAAAGCCTTTGTGATTTGTGACCCTGGAGCACAAAAGCAGTCTGAAGTCGCTGGGGTATATTTGTAGCAATAGCCAACAATACATTGTATGGGTCAAATTTATTGATTTTTCTTTTATGCCAAAAATCATTAGGATATTAAGTAAAGATCATGTTCCATGAAGATATTTTGTACATTTCCTACTGTAAAAATATCAAAACTTAATTTTGATTAGTAATATGCATTGCTAAGAACTTCATTTGAACAACTTTAAAGATGATTTTCTCAATATTTAGTTTTTTTTTGCACCCTCAGATTCCAGATTTTCAAATAGTTGTATCTCAGCCAAATATTGTCCTATCCTAACAAACCATACATCAATGGAAAGCTTATTTATTCAGCTTTCATATGATGTATAAATCTCAATTTTGAAAAATTGACCCTTATGACTGGTTTTGTGGTCCAGGGTCACATTTTTCCTTTCATGTATCTTCACCACTGATTTCATCTCCATAAACCTCATATATAACCATCATTTAATTTATTTCTATGTCATATTAATGTATGCATATTTGTCATTATTATCTAGTTATCTAAAGAAAATCCAGCTTCCACGCTGTAAACGCAGAGTTTTCACTATTCAGCACTCTTCAAATCATCCTCTGGATGCCAGTATGGCCGACTGTGTTGCAGCCACTTCTTCTACACAGTGTTTGTGGGAGTAACAATGGCAGTGTTTCTCCAGAGCTGAGGGCATTCAACTGAACCCCGGCTCTGGCCAAATAGCCTGGCACTGAGATCTGCCAGCGCTGCCACAGCTGGGGTGACTGAGGAGCCCCGGTCAACGATTACAAATTACTGCCACTGTTGCTCATCTCTATCTCTGTCTGTTTCACACTTTTTCATTACTATGTGTGCTCATTACCTCTTCTACAGTTTCTATGCCTATTCCTCTCACATTAACGCTCAAGACAAGTTATAGAGTTACGACAATGAAGATAAAAGGAAAGTGTTGTTAACTAAAGCAATAAGCCCCAAGAAGCCGTGGTTTGTAACAGCTAAGGGGGTTTTAGGCACTCCGCTTTGCGTCGAACCTAACAACGCCCCTTAGCTGTTATAAATTCACTGTAAACCACAGCGTTCACGGGCCTTATTGCTTTTATAAAACGGTTATTCCATATACGTAGCAAGGTTTCACAAAATAAAACAGAGCAAATAAAGTGTAATGATATTAATAAAAACAGTATTCTTCCACCAAACAATGTAGTTCCTCAGAAACAGTTGTGGTTCCAACAAAGTGGTTGCCAAGCAACACACAGACGTAAACAAAGGTGTATGTTTGTAGAGTAATTTACAACAGCTTCGCACGTGGCTCAGCCAATCAGAATCAAGGACCGGAACTCTCCGTTTTATAATCAGAATTTAACTTCTCTCCCCTTTTGTTCCACATAGGTATCCTAGATATAGCTATAAGTCACAACAATCACAAGTGAGGCCTTCTTAATATTTCAATTGTTTCTCCAAAAAAGGAATAAGATTAGATCAAATTAAGACTTTTGCTCAAATTAAGACTTTTGCTTCTTAGATTTTTTCTCCTGAAAAAAACAAGAAAACAACGTCTCATCTGATTATCAAGATTCTCATCAATCTCTTTCCAGTCTATAGCTCTAAACTCTGACTGTATGTCAACAACTTTATCATTTGTGTCTTTTTATTTCTCCTTAAGGAAAAATATCTGAAAAATAGATATTTAAATGACACATGACTGAGATCTCCATTAAGTTAAAAGCAACCTCTGAGCAATAGAATTTACCTTTGGCTATAGATAAAGTTATAGACAACATCTCCAGTATATATTCTCAGTGTCTGGAAAAACCTATAAACCGCTGTAGACACGCATGCATTAACGGTAAGCCCCATCCCATTACTTATTTTTAAATCACAGATAAACGCAATAAATACTTGGAAGGCTTGAGGAAATCTGATTAGTGATTGCATACGTCTCTACAGCCAGTAACAGGATGTGACACACTCTTGGTGTGCAATTATACCAGATGCCTCATCTGAAAACCTCATGTTATACCACAGAGACACGTTAAAAGAATGTGAACATGAAAGCAACACCCTCCAACATGGCATCCCTCCGTGAACCGCGAGCATTGGTCATTTGAATGAGCCATGCGTGTTCTTCTCTGCCCTCCAGCCCACCGTACAACAGTCGTAATCCCAGCCGCCACATTAATAGCAGCTAATTGATGCCAAAGACGGCGAGGCTCAAAAGAGAGACACGAAACCGGCTGCCACAGTTTAGACAAGCCGCTCTCGGACAGGATTACTCAACAGCTATTAAAGAGTGCTTTTAATGGCACTGACTGTGTGTGATCTCTGTCTGCTCCAAACCACCTTCAGATCCATCTGTCTATCTTGTATAAGGTCCTACACATTCCTAAGTAAATATGTTTGCGTGTTTTTTGTGTGTATCGTTTGTGTGAGCGCACGGGCCCCGCATGTGTCAGAATTAAATGCGCATTAAAATCCGACGCCAAATGTTATGGGGCCAACATGTGTGAGCATGGTCTGTTTTCCACAACCTTATTTTGATTGAAGCAAGTTGTTTTTCTCCATTTTTTCCTCCTGCCGGCCAATCAAATCTCTGGCCTTATGGGAGCATATGAGCGACATACAGCTGCGCATGCCTGGGCAGCACAAACAAGTCGTGTAAGGAATTAAACCAGATTTCATTTCAGTTTAAAACTACAGGCTTAAGATTAGTTTAGCCCATCTCTTTGTCCTCTGCACCCAATGAGAAAACAAGGATCTAGCGTGAGGTAAATATCCCATTTAGAAATATTAAAAACTCCTGTTGTTTTGATGATGTAATAAAAGGCCTGTGTGTATCAACTATTGCACACATGTGAAAAACAAAAAAAAACATTTTGTGAGACAAGATGAATCCAAACAAGAGCACGCCATCCTCTTAAATCAAGAGTAAATGGAGCAATAGATTTGTTATGTTTTTTTTAAATTAGTATTGATATTATTAATTAATCTTGATGTTATAACAATGTAATTAATAAAATACATTTTAAACATTTTAGTTGTAATAATTCTAGAATGTTAACTCTGTTCCCTAATACAGACAATATAATGTTCGTCTGGATTTATTCTGTAAGGTTTTGTATTTTATCTAATATCTTCAGTCAGTTGAAAGAAGACACTTCATAATTGTTTGTCATTCTGGATGTTTTGTGATGTGATCTCGGTGATCTAAAATGCTTGCCAGAAAGCCACAAACCACAGAGAGAAATAGAATTCAAATTCAGTGTCTGACTATCATTTTTAACTTAGATGTCGGTGCTGAGGGGAACCGGGAGACAGACAGACAGACAGACAGACAGACAGACAGACAGAGACAGACAGACAGACAGACAGACAGAGACAGACGGACAGAGACAGACAGACAGAGACAGACAGACAGACAGACAGACAGAGGTCCCTTGGGTTCTCCATGAAGCTTGTGAGAGCATGTGCATACAGTTCAAAATATCAAATCTGATCTAATTAAAACCTTTGAACCATATGACACAAAAAAAAAATGAACAGCTGAAATATTCAGCATGGTTTATTCTTTTGCCAACCGATGTGGTGTAATTATGCGGTTGCATTTGCTTCACTAAATCACCCTCTTCGATTATGTAATGTTTTAATTACAATTTTATACCTCCTATTTTATTTCCCATAGTCTTTTGGATGGATGTCAGGACTGAAGAGGAGACGGGGAGGAAGAGGGTGAGTGCTGGAGATCTCAGAGCAGACAGACAGACAGACAGGCGGGCGTGCGTGCGTGCGTGCGTCCGTGGCCGACGCGCGGGGAAGCTGACCGGACCCGTGCGTGTCCCCCAGGTGACCCGCGCACTCCAGCTCAACTCACTGACGGCGTTATAATCAAGCTCAATGCGTCATAAACGCCATTGTTGCGTCATAGACGGCCAATATTGTACATTTCAAATATTGTAAGAGCAATGAACTCACTGAACTCTAGCCCGTCTGCTCACCTCCCTGTTCAACTCGAAGCTCTGTAAACGTTTCAAATGCATGATTTAGGGAACAGCCTTCACCACAACGTGTCAAATGCATGGAGGTATCTGGCACGAGCGAAGCACAGCCTTTTGTGAAATGCGAGATACCTACATCCCGAGCGCAGAACATGCAATTCTAACATACACGATCAGGTGGCAACCGTACCTTCCAGCCGGCTGAGCTATTGCTGTCTCCTTTATCCTTGAAATAGGGCACAAAGCGCACCATCCAGTCGTAGATTTGCGATAAGGTGAGCCTTTTCTCGGGGGTGCTCTCTATGGCACGCGTGATCAGATCCGCGTACGACTGGTTGCCCCACGCGTTCCGTCGCGACGACTTGGATTTGCGCAGCTGGCCGGCCACATCCAGCGCGGCGCCGGACATGCACGCTGGGGCGGCCGCGATAGGGGCAGGGGCGCCGGCTGGATGCTTGAACTCCGTCGGCGCCCCTCCGCTCCGGCACGCCGGCACGTTGCGCGGCTCCACTTTCACAGGCAGCGCGCGGCTCTCCTCCTCCGGACACGGCAGCGGCCAGGTGCACGACCTCGGGCGGCAGTGCGGCTCATAGTCGGCGTCCAGTTCAACCTGATGCGCGTCTACCCCGCTGCTCTCCATCATTAGCATGCTGCTTTTGAGCGTCAAAAGGCAAGGTCAAGGGAAAAACAGCAATGCGCCCTTAAATCCAGTAAGGATGGACTGTGTGGGATTCTCTCTGTCTCTAGTCTTTTTACACCAGTTGCAAAACGTGAATAAAAGCAAAAGCACCGGGAGCCGTGAATAGACTGCTCATTCTCGTGTCTCTAGTCTGCTGTAATGAAGGCTCCTAAACACGCAAAAGCATCCAATGCATCACGATGTGCAACAGTCTGTCTTCCATATTACTGAACAATTCAGTCACACGCAAGCGGGTGTCCATAGGGCTGCTGAGGTGCTGAAATCACACACCCATCACTGAAGCGTCTCGTGCATGCAAAGTCCCTTTAATCGCGCGCTCGCACCAACTGTTGATTGCTTTGACAGACGGTCTGACAGACACGCTGGCCGGGCAAAGCTTGTAAATCTATCTCATCAAGAAGGGCGAACTCAATTGACAGCCTCTGGAGTCTGGCCACAGTTTCCGTTTGTCTGGAGCTCTCCCGTCCCTTTTCTTTTCCCTCCGCAGATTTGTAAGCGGTCTCTCACGCGAGCGTAATCACTATTACTGATAGTAGACACGGCGCGAGCGCCCTAAAAATAGGGTCGCGTGAATGGAGCCGCGTCTTCACCCGATTATGAATTTCCCCACGCGTTTTTTCTTTTCTCTGCGTTAGATAAAATATTCAGACGAACATTCCTTCCACATCGGTTCACGCCTGTTTGCGGATGACTAGACGGGGCTGTAGCGGCGGATAAATGCTGCTATCAGATAATTGGACGGCGCTTGAATCAAGTCACTCCCTCCAGAACAGGTTTATCCGGGGGACGCGCATCTTCTACCACACAACATTCATGCCTCTTTTGAAAGATTTACATGTGCAGAATTCCCTTGCACGTCTTATGGCAAGTCGTTTTAGCATTTATTCTGAGTACACTGTAAAATGATTTTTCTAAGTGTACATAAAACAAATATTACTGGAGCATTTACAAGAAAATACTAGCTATCTCACTTTTTACATGCAATTTTCACATTTCAATGTGTTACTTGTTTCTTTGTAATATACCTGTGAATTTTACTAGATGTGAAAATTGTTTATTCAGTGTACTTATTACTTTTTCCATTACTAAGTAATCCTACTTTAACAACCACTTTTAACTTTCAGTTTCACTATCGGTATGCACTATACTTGAATTGAATCCAATATAGCCCTGATATTATTAAATTAAAATTTTTTAAAAAAGTAAGATGAACAAAAAATGTTGCTATTTCAAAATGGAATAAACATTGGTGTCTAATGTGGTCTGTCTGTTAAGTTAGTATAGGAACACTGGAATATATGCAACTAATAACTATCTGAATAGCTATGAACAGGTGATTAATTGCTAGTATTACAACTGTATAGGTACAATCAACTGGAATACATACTAGTTGAAAGTGAATATAATCTGTGGAAAATATATTAATGGCAAATATTGTCATTTGTTAGATTTAACAATAGATGGTGGCTAGGCCTATATCTAAGCAATTATTACTTGTGACATTGAATACATATTAGTGATAGCAATAAGTATATATCCAGTTAATAATTACTAGTGAAACTTCAAAATATACCAATAAGTGTGTGTGTGTGTGTGTGTGTGTGTGAGTGTGAGTGTGAGTGTGTGTGTGTGTGTGTGTGTGTGTGTGTGAGTGTGAATGAATACTACTGAATAATGGAATAATGTCCAAGCAGCTTGCCATATATTTCCAGATTTTGCAATGAATTTCTTTACAATAGAATTTGTCAGCGTTCATACTCGGAAATGCAATGCAACCTGTTGCGTTGTCAGGCGGAGGGATGTGAGCAGAGTGCGTGAAATCCCCGCGGCCCGCACTGGCCATGCATGCATTTAGCACGGCTTTACTGCCCACATGATGACAGTTCCCATGAAAAACGGTCGAGAGCAGCTATTCATGGATGCATGTCAGTAGATAATCTCCACCCCAACATCATATTATCCATGAGAGACACCGCAGCGCCAAAAACATTCTGCCAAACGCGCTTCGGATGAGGAGGGGTGCGCTTCTTTTGGAAACGAAGGCTCTTGGCAAGCGTGTCTCTAGTCTATGAACAAGTGCGGGGGACGGGACGCGAGTGTGTGTGACATTCAGTGTACAGTTCGTGTGTGACTCGCTGATAAACTGACCGAGGGGATTCCGCCCACGCCGCGAGCCTATTGAATCTGACAGGAGGGCGGGGCTCGCGGACATGCTCCGCCAATCACCACCCGCCGCCAGACGCTGCTCCGCGCTCATTGGCTGTCCAGTGGCACAGGTGGGCGGTAACAATCTGCTTGTATAAAAGCCTTAACCCCCTTTTCGGGTGGAAAATCCCCCAACGGTGACGTAACGCTGGACCTTTGACAGCTGGTCGTCAATGGCAACCTAATCCTCCAATGCTCTGTAGTGGAATGCTTTCATCGTGATTAAATGCTACTTTTACAACACAACATGTGGAAAAGAGAGGGAGCGCGGGAGGTACATGCAGAGGAAGGTAGGGATACGAGAGAGAAATGCTGTAAATGAGAACAAACAGAGGTTTAATTCACAACACATGGGCCTGTGGTTTTGAAAAAGGAGATTTTTATGCACCACAATGGAGTTGTAACAGGAATGTGGTGTGACTCCTACAGTAAGGAATGAAAACACTGAGCTTGAGCCAGCTGAACAGATTTAATGGCGTATTCGTCTTCGCTGTGAGAGCCCAGGGCAAATACATAAGACCCCGCGCTGTGATATAGAGGAGGCCGGGGCAAGTTGTCACAAGAGCTGCATAACATTTATTGTCACTGTCTTGTTACGCAAATGTGAGTTTTCACTATAGCTGTGGTTGTGTGTGAAGGTTTCAAAACACCTTCAATTATAATAATGTTGTGTGAATTCTGTCCACCAAACCAAAATGTCAGTACCATATTTTAATTGCGGTTGTGTAACCATAAAGCAAGTAAACACAATAAAAGTACAGTAACATACATTCAGAATGTCAGTCAATTGTATAATCAAGATATCAGCTGGAAAAAAAAAAAGAGTTGATAATGGCTAATTTCATAAATGTCAAGTTGGGCAGACTGTCACACGGTTTTTTTTTTTAATTCAATTTTTTTTGTGTAAACCAAAACAATGGTTTGATATTTTTTGTATATTATATTTAACATCTATCTATCTATCTATCTATATTTATTTATTTATACTGTTTTATTTCATTGGCAGGTTACTTTGTGTTCCAATGTACCCAATAAAGTGTGACAACATGCCCCGCTTTTTTGTCGCAAAAGAGAAAAGAAAAGAAATGAAAAAAAGAAAAGGCCAATAACAGTGGAAATGTTCAATAGTGTAATACTGTAGGCTTTAATATATATTTTATACAGAACTTGATTTTCACAAAATAAAAATACTGACTGGAGTATAAAGCTCCATAGTCTCCTCTATAAAAGTCAAAATTCTGTTAGAGCTGTGGTCTAGTGGTTAGTACAGGCTCTGACAAGTTAAGCCCAAAGTAAAAGTGGCAAATACCCCAAAGATTTCAAGGTCCTAATGCGGAGAGGAGTCTCCAGACGTCCTTGAAATGTGAAATTATAAAGAGGTATTATAGAGTTATTTTTTAGACAAAATTGTGTAGCTCATGACTGATGCACCCTCAATTAGCACCCTGACTCTGGAACATTTCTGAAACACGTAGACATGCCTGACTGTCAGATATTTTTCGTAGCTGACGCATACTGCTAATTGGCTAAAGTGGCTAATCTAATGTGACCCAGCTTCGCAGCTTCGTTTGTAATTGTGATTTCGTTACTTAAACGTTAAACTCCTTTTTTCGTGTGGTAAAGAAGCTTAGACTTGATCCTGCCTCACTACAATCGATCTAAGCGTATTAGCAGACCCACACAGAATCTGCACCTGCAGCTTCCACAGAAAGCTCCGCAGTGCTCCACAGAGAAGGAACATCATTCACCCCTCCTCCTTACGTAATCGTTTAGCTCAGTGGTTCTCAATTCCAGTCCTCGCGTACCACCGATCTGCACATTTTATATGTGTCTCTTATCACTTCAGAGGTTTGTTCTATTCGACCGTATAAGTGCCCTGAGAAGTGAACATCTCAGGATGTTCTGCCATGATTCCAGTTCGAAGGGAGCTTATATGTTCCATTCAAAGGGCATTGCAGTGTGCGAGACGTGAATTTAAACTATTTATTTACAGATATTATGTCACACTTCACACTTCTCTAGTGAGTTTCGTCTGTGTGTGAAGACGCTGCCGACCGTGGCGTAGCACAAATCCGTGAATGAATGTTCCGAAGTGAAGTAAACTTCCACAGATTTCCCGTGCTCAGGGAGTAGGGAGCAATTAACACTTTGTAGGGACCCTGTCAATCAGAACACAGTTCATGCATGGAGCTCTCTTCTAACCAGCTGATGATCTGAATCAGTGTTAAATTAGAGAGACATGCAAAATATGCAGAGCGGTGAGGACTGGAATAAGAACCACTGGTTTAGCTAATTTCCCAATGCTGTGTAGTACTCTCAGCTCAGTTTAACACATTTTACGATGTCTACACTCTAAAAAATGCTGGGTTGTTTCAACCCAACTTTGGGTCAAATATGGACTAACCCAACCGTTGGGTTAAATTTTTACATAAAATTTTTAACCCAAAAGTTGGGTTAGTTTTTTTTGTTGGGTTGGGTTAGCATTTTTTAGAGTGTAGAGGTGAAATAATGTGTTTGATGTTCGGTAGAATACTTTTTTCATCCAATCTTAGCATGGAAAGACAACTACAAGTACACTCCTAAAGATGAAGGTTCTACCTTAGCACTGATGGTTCCACAAAGAACCTTTGAGATCCACGGAACCCTTCCATTCCACAAAAGGTTCTTTATTGTGGAAAAAGATTCTTCGGTTCTTCACACTAAGAAAAAAAACCGGTTCTTGCAAGAACTGTTCACTGAAAGGTTCTTCGATGGTTCTTCTTTGGCACTGCTGTGAAAAACTCATTCATCGGTCTGTCATCGTTTAGACTAACGCTGAAACCTGTAGGCCACACATACAGTACACAAACCTTCTGTAATCTCAGCTGAGCTTTGAGGAGCTATCGCACTATGACTGCACAGCAGATCTTCCATCTTTAATTGCTCTTCTCAACTGTTTAATTTGTATCTCACTAATGCTGACACTTATGCACACACTCACCGAGGTGATCGAGAATTTCTTTGACAGCAAATTAAAGGAAGTAAACATGCAATTGCTGGTGGGTTTGAAGCGGGCCTCGAGCGTTCACATCAGAGCTCTGTCAGTGAGACATCAAATAAATATGCTTAAAATTATTTACAGCGAGATTTATGACTGCATTGTCCCCGACCCCACTTCCTGTTCTCTTCCTCTATTTGTGTCTCTGTCACACTCCCGTTTGTACTTTTAATTAGTGGTGTTTGCTGAGGCTATTGCTCATACTTTGGATTAGTGATTTGAACAATCTTTGGTGCTTATTTTGAGCTACGGATACCTCAAAAATAAACAGATTTACACTGAAGGATGTACCTGAGCAATTGTGTGAGGCTTTGTTGACGCTGCAGTTTTCAGATCCAATCATTTGGACTGTTATTTTTTAAGTGATGAAATTGTATTGGTTTATTCAGAGTCAGTAACTGGTATATCTACATCAGCACAATGCCAAGAGAGCTTCTCGTAGAAATAAGAACAGCTGAGAGTAGCTGTCAGTGTTGCCTCTGCTTATGTCCATCACCACATCTCACTGTTGAACTCACGAGGTGTATGAGACAGCATAAGCA